TCTGGAAAGGGTCTGGTGCTGCAGGAATGTTTGCATGCCATGCTGGATTGACTGAGGAGGTTGCTAGATTGTATCTAGTTTATTGTTAACTATGTAACTATTGGGGAGGGGGTAGAGTTGGAAGATAAAGCAGTTATGGGCACTGCCTGCCTATAATTTGAATTGGCACATAAAAAAATGAATGAGGGCCTCCCTGGTGATTGAACACATCTCTGTGAAGCTGTCTGCAGCCTCTGCAGCATGGGTTCGATCCCAGCCAGCTGGGGAGGTACCCACATGGCGCAGCAGACCTCTCCTGCTTTGCCCGCTGCTCTCCTCAGCAGTGTATTTCAGTCAGTCTGCCTGTTCTGCTCCCCACTCTGCCTCTGGTGAATCCTCTCACCCTCCCGCACATCTGGCCTGTACCCCAGTTCTTGTATACATGAATAAATAAATCTTAAAAAAAAAATGACTGAGTGAAAATCTTCTCTACCACCCAGCACTGTGCTAGATGCTCAGTTCAAGTAACTGGGGCCTCCCTGATGGCCTAGGAGTTAAGTCTTAGCACTATCACTGCCACGGCCTGAGTTTGATCCCCAGCCAGGGAGCCAACCCACATGGCACAGCAGACCTCTCCTGACTTGCCCGCTGCTCCCCTTAGCAGTGTATTTCAGTCGATCTGCCTGTTCTGTTCCCCACTCTGTCTCTGGTGAACCCTCTCACCCCTCTGCACCTCTGGCCTGTACCCCAGTTCTTCTACAAAAATATATTTTTTTTAATTTAGGTAACTGAACTTTATTCTCATTTACCAGGCCTGTGATCACATTTTTTTCTCCCCTCAAAATACATATACATATACACTTAAACATGCACATATATGTGTATATACATATGCACATACTTATTTTTATACTTTAGGTTGCATAAAATAACTACATTTTTATTTTTTCCCATTATCGTCATTCATTTATGTCATATTTGTCAACATTTATTGAGTGCAACCATGGACCTACTTCCATGCTAAGCACTAGAGTTACAGTGATGAAAAGGACATGATTGAGACCCTCAAAGAACTAGCAATCTAGGAAAAAAGATAAGGTGTGTGAGCTCACAAATACACTGTCGTGGGATAAGTACATTGCGCTCTGTTAGTGAAATAAGGGAGTCACTTCTTTGTACCTGGGAAATCAGGAAGAGCTTCACTAAGGAGGCAGACTTATGGCAAGATTAGTTGGAATAGAGAGGAAAGAAATTCTAGGCAAATGAACCAGTGTGGGCATAGGCATGGAAGCATGGGAATGATGCCAAGGCTAGGACACGAGAAGTAATTTAACATGTCTGTAGCACAGGATGTGAGATGGAAACCAGGATTTGATCCTGAAGACATAGGCAGGGGCCAGAACCTAAAAGGACTCTGTGCCAAGCTAAAGAGTTTGGACTTTATCCAAAGAAAATGGGATACTGCAGAAAATGACCAGTAGGACACAGAGGTGCTGATGATGTGGTAACAGATAAAGTTTAGAGAATTGGAGCTCTTAAGTTTGCAAAGCCCCTCAAAAGAAGATCTGGTCCAAGTCCCTCCCCTCCAAGAAGTCAAGAACACTAGAAGTTAAGTGATTCAGAACAAGTTTTGTTGGCTTTGGCCTAATGTCATTGAAAGACATAGGACAAGGTCTGCTAGATAAAAATTCTTTAATTTTTTGCTAGATCCTTGAAAATTTTTAATCTCCTGGGTTACCTTTGGGTTAGCTCTGATGAGAAAAAACACTGTTGTATTTAACTGCACAGCAGATTTGAGGAGACTATACTGGGAGTAGGACTGCTCAGCTATCTTCTTGATTGCTGTACTTGCAGTGAATCATCTGTGAACAGTAGTGAATCATCTGTGAACAGTACATTACCTTGCAAGAACCTCTCTGTATTACTGGATCATTTTATGTGAAAGTTTGGTTGGTTGAAACCAGATTTCAGGAGTAGATAATGATGGTAGTACCATGTATAATTTATTAATAGACATAGAGTGGTGTTAATAAATACAAAGTATATTCTTGAGCCTATTCAAAAATGTTTAAAGAAAGGGTGTGCAGCAAAAAGAGTTTTAAGAGGTGTTCTCTGACATGCTGTTTTCTGAAACAGTTGAAACAAATTGAGATTCTCAGTTACAGTTAGGTACATAGCTGTGTCTGGCGGTAAGTGGCTTGAGAGGTGAAGTGACTTTCCTAAGTTCTCATGGATAAGTGATGAGTCCTGAATTGGAACCCTGACCCACCCTCCTCAGTGACTATTTCAACTCTTTCAGGGAAGTTCATTCCCTGTTAGACTTTATTTTCTCGCATACATATGAGAAATTTGAAAGATGATGAAGAAGGTCTCTCCAGCATGTCATCACCAATGGTTCTCGGGAATATGTATCAAGGTAGAAGACATCAGGCTAAAAAAGCTGGTTAGGGAAAATGAGGCAGAGCACTGAGTTGGAAAACTAGGGAGAAAGAGCTGCAGAGCAGCCACGTGACCAGGCTGTAAAGACTGTCTCAGAGGCTGCAGAGTGGGCAGAGTCAGGCATTGATTGGGGACCCCTTGATGGGTAGTTTTTCAGACTGTGAAGTGGGTCTTCTCATTTGATCTTAAGGTTTTTTCAAGATGTTGGATAAAGTGTAGTAGAGGCTGGAAAGATCCCAGGCAATCTGCTGGCTCATCCCTTGCATGAGTCAGCAGGGAACTCTTTAAGGGTTTGTGCAAGTGAGGCATAGAAAACTTTTTAAAGTATGTCAAGCAAAGGAGTGATTTACATAACCCTTGGTGGCATTGAGCGCAAATACTTTACAGCAGAGAAAGGCTAAAGTTTCTTTTGGCCACCGCGGGCCCAAATGGTTACTACAGTCTCCTGAATGCCAGCTGCATTAGCTGTTTGCATTCAATAATGTAAAAAGTTAAAGCTGCAGTCTTTCTCCCTTCACCTTCCTCTGTCCGTATAACACACATTGAACAACAAATCTAACTTAATTTCTGGCATTCCTTTTTGAAGGTTTAAAAAAAAAAAGAGGTACAGATGAGTAAGCTAGAAAATCAAAGTAGTAGGGTTGCAAGCTGAGACTGCTTCCACCCCAAGGGAAGGACCGAACCTGGTGTGGTGCAATAGAACACCCGACCCTTTCAGTCCCTGGTCCCCTAATCACATCCTTGTCAGGGTCAAGTAGCTCCAAGTTCTCTGTCATCACCCCTGCTTCCAGTTACAGAAGCACATCAGTTCTGTACTCCTCAAAAGCATATTTTGTGCCATGAATTCAAATTCCAGGGCAAACACCTGTTTTGGAGTAGGCTTTCTTTGGTTTACTCAGAAATGAACATCAACCTTGCTGAATGCTAAGAATACAGCAGTGAACACATGTGGCCCCTGCCCTAAAGCAGCTCCCTGACTGCTGGGGAAAAGACCGCTCCAATGTGTGACATAAGTGAGGATCTTGCAAAGGCAGCCCAGAGGGGTAGAAGTGTGGGGGGATCACTAACTTCCAGATAGGTCTTGAGAGTGAACAAGTAATTTTTAAGTAAACAGGTCAGGTACAAGTTTCCAGATAGAGGGGACAATTCGGTGATAAGGATCAGTATTGCGTGACCTCCTTTAAAATTCTGAAGCCACATGTAGTAGAGCTACATGAGCTAGATTGGGTGGCACCAGATAAGAACCATCATCTATTCTTAAGCAACTTTGGATTCCACTTTACATCGCGTTGGAGAAAAGTTCAGCATGGACAGAGGAGAGAATAGAGGTCTAGAGTGATCGAAGATTCTCCACGGTCATACTGTCAATTAACGGGGTCAGGACAAGGAACTGTGTCCCTGCCCAGGATGCTTTCTGCCCCTCTGACCCTGAGTGACCCGAGTTTCTTCTTTGTTGGACCCTGTTCCGTGGGGTTTTGGTCTCTCCAACAGTTTCCGCTCTTTGTCCCAACTCTGGCCACCATCCTCAGGAAGCCGTCAGGCAGAACTTTCCCCTGTGGCAAGGTGCACAGGCACCTCAGTCAGGCCCTGGGTGCGGTTGGACTCACACCAGCATGTTTGATGCCCCCTTGGCCTGGCTCTACGCCTTCCTGGCAGAGTTTAAACAGCCTAATTGCTTGCTTTGTACCCCAGATGCCTGACATATGCCAGACCCATGTATTGACTCAGTGGTGTCAGAGACAAACTACAGTCGGGCATTTCAAATTGGCTTTGGTACGCACCACCCAGCAACAGGAGACTGTCGTGTCATTCATGTATTTCTATAACTCCTGCACCTAAAGTCACCCAGTGCCTAGCTTATAGGAGGTGTCCAGTTTTGTAAAGTGAACTTAATTTTAGTGACTACAGATACATAACACAATGGTAAGATAAGTGGTGAGATCAGGACCTCAGAGTAGAAAGTCCTAGTTTTGAGTAACAGCTCAGCCAATCAAGTTTTTTGCTGAATGACCTTGAGCAAGTCTTTTCTGAGTTTCAATTACTTGATCATTTTACACCAGGGAGTGATAGCCCATGCTTTGATGAGGTCCTGGAGATGTGCGGCCCTCCTGGATCTCTGGGAGTGTGTCAGATAGCGAAGTAAATGTGAACAAAAGAATCCTATGATGATCACGGTCAGAAAGAGATTCCTGTAAGGCTTAGAAGAATCAAGAGGAGAGGTGATTAATTGTGCCAGAAAAGGTCGGTAACAGCCTCCCTGAGGTGATGACAGATTAGCTGGGACTCTGAGGAGTAGAAAATAATACCCCAAAACTCCATTATGTCAGACAGTGACCAAGGGGGAGAAAACAGGTCAAATATAGCACTTGTGATTGGCAGAATATAGGAGCCAGCTGGAAACCTGAGATGGTGACGTGATTTGCTCCCCATGTTGGCGATTTCTCACCAAGGCTCTTCCATTATGGGATTTCTCAGCCCAGGCAGCAACTACTTGACCCACATTGACCCTTGGTGAGGGTGTGTGTTCCAGGGGTGCACAGAAACCACTTGCACCAGCTCACAAGAACGGATTTGGTTTTTTCGATCTTAAAATTTTATTGACAGTCCCCAAGGTCAATTTTTATTCTTGTTTTCCACAAATCATGGGAACAATTTAAATGACATTATTGATAATACCATTTATCTAATGCAGTTCCTTTTTTAAAGTTTCATTGAGTTACTACCTTCCCTCCCCTAGCCTCTGATCTTCCCCCACCAGCTCCTTCTGGAACCAGTATGTTATTCATGGTCTAGGAATTATTCTTGTTGTTTTACCTGTTTGTTCTCTTTGGTTATTCATATTCCAGTAAATGTCTTTCAGTTCTGGCTTAGTTCACGTAGCATAATCACCTGAAGATCCATCCATTTTGTTCCCAAAGGCACTATTTCATCTTCCTTAATAACTGAGTAGTATTCCATTGAGTGTCTATTCTCCAGTTGTCTGTCAATGGTTCCGTGTCTTGCTATTATAAGTAATGATGCTATGAACATAAGAATGCATAAATCTTTTCATACTTGTGTTTTCATATTCTTTGGGTAAATCCCTACCATAGGTCTTGTTGGATCATAAGGTGTTTCCATTTTTAATTTTTTGAGGACTTTCCCTGCTATTTTCCATACAGACTACACCAAATTACATTCTCACCAACAATAAATGAGTAAGAACTGATGATGAAATGTTCAGAAATTCCACAAGATGATTTTTCTCTACAGCTATTATTAAAAATTAAATTATATAAAATTAAAATTAAGTAAATTATATTAGAAACATAAGTAATAAATAGAACTTATCATTTGCTAATTGTTTTCAATATTCTACTATCATCTTTGCTCTTGAATTTATTATTTTTGGGGAGACTAGTGCATCTCTGGTAGACACACCATGTAACGGTGGTCCACTGTGCATCTCTTCCCAGCTCCGCATTCAGTGGTATCTTCAGTTGGTAGTGTGAAATCAGCCATGGTGGAGGTATTTACACTACAGAACTAGGCAAACACTACAAATTATAAAGCTATTTTTCTTTCTTTTTTAATTTGAAAGCCAATTGTTAAATATCTGCCAGTAAATGGCATTAAATAAATGGAAGAAGGAAGAAAGCACTGGAGAGCACAGCACGTACACCTTTTCAAACTTTAATGTGCAGCAGCCCACGGCAGAAAATACATTTCAGAAGCCTCCACCGAGCAGATGCCCCATCTCCTCTGTTTAAGGGAAACCTTTCTGTTCAACAGGGCCTTCTTGACAACTGAAAATCATGGCCAAACAGTTGAAGGATGGGAGTACTTTTCTCCAAGCCTTAATTCCCAAGCCAAATGCCTGTTTCTCAAGAGGCCTCTGCAGCCTGCAGGGGTACATGGAGTCAACTTAATCTTCACCAGAATCCAAAGTAGTACACAGAAGCCTGGGCTAAAATTCCATCTGCTCTGGCTTGCTAAAGTGCAAGGTGCATGATAGCCAAACGGTGCTGATTTAATGTTTCCCAATTATCAGGAAATCCCCAAAGAGAGATAAATCAGAGGAGGCTGGCCCACATGTGTGTGAGGGGCAGCAGCCAGGGCAGCTATGAAAAGGAAGCCATCCCCAGAGAACTGGTTACTATCCAGGCCGAATCTGAAGGCACATATGTCAGGAGAGGGCTGGACAGTAGCCAACACCAGGAGATGAGATCTGTTAGTAATTCTCTGGAAGGACAAAGTTCTAGCAATAAGAAATTCAATTTTCCTCCATTAAAGAAAGCATCTCTCAGTACTGGTTGAATACAATTGATGGAATAAATCTTTCCCATTAGTGGAGAGATAATTTCACGTAAATGTATCGGGAGACCTTCAAAGCAGGACTGAGTCTTTGCTGAGCTTCACCCGCTTAACTTGTTTGCCATGTAATTGCATTTAGACCAAGGGCCTCGGAAGGAAACCACTGACTGAATTAGCATTAACCAGATTGTGTGTAGCAAGGTGGGGTGGGCGGGCAGCTCAATGCATTGTGGGTAGCTGTTCGTGCCTTCAGAAAGGACAAGCTGACACTAGCAAGACCAGCTGCTTATAAGCTTGGTGTTAATTGCTTTTCTCATCAAACAGAGAAAAGTTTATCACTTCTAGGAAGGTAGAGATGTAGGCACCTAATAAAGCAAAGACTCATCTGAGACCTTTTTTTTATGAAGGCCCACAGGCCTCATTAGTAGTTATTCCCTAGGCCGGAAAAGAAAAAAAAGCCTTCTAAACCAAGGTGAGTGGAGAACATTGTCTGGAGACAGTGCCTATATCTTTTCTCAGATTTGTCTTGTCAAGCAGGCTGTGTGACCTGGATTTGGGACCTGGCTCTGCCACCACCTCCCTGTGAGGACCCCAGATTCTTCAGCTGGCTTTTCTCTGATTTCTCCAGAGACTTAGATTCCAGAGTTGCCTTCGGAACCACCCCAAGAAAAGACTGGATACCCACCTATATTTCATCTAGAACAGATCTTGTGGGGTTTTTCCCCCACAATTATGGGTCCTTAAAAATGGCATCTTCTGGGCCTCCTTGGTGGTGCAAGGGGTTAAGTCTCAGCTATGAAGCTATCAGCAGCCACTGCAGCACAAGTTCAATCCCCAGCCAGGGCTCTACCCACATGGCACAGCAGACCTCTCCTGACTCGCCCGCTGCTCCCCTCAGCAGTGTATTTCGGTAGATCTGCCTGTTCTGCTCCCCACTCTGTCTCTGGTGAATCCTCTCACCCCCCACACCTCTAGCCTGTACCCCAGTTCTTGTATGCATAAAATAAATCTTTTTTTAAAAGTCATCTGCTAAAAAGATTCTATTTCTAAAATATTCAAAAACCATCTTTCTTGATGATTTCTAATTGTCTCACTTACTTGTTCAAGCCACCCTATTTTTAAAAAAAAATGACATAGTACTTGTTAGGCATTTGCAGTCACTGCAGAGAGGAAGGGTGAGAGGGAGGGAAGAAGGAAGAAACAGACTTTGACTTTGCCCTCAAAGAGCTCATGATCTAATAGAGAGAAGACGCTTGCCATGTGTGGTAGGATATCAAGGTGTTTCTGACAGATCTGGGAATAGAGTGACTTGTTCTAATTAGGTGCATCAAGAATGGCTTCCGGGAAGAGGCATCATCTGAAACTGGGTCTCAAAGGAGGAGAATATTGGGAGAGAGGTGCAGGAATGACATTTGAGGCAGATGGAAGCACATTACACAGACACAGAAGCTTTAAACAACATTTGCCTGGCAAGTTTGGGGAAAGCAGATGGTTTGTTGTCTGGAATATAGATAGGGAGTAAAGAGGGGGTATTGGGAGAGGTGATGGGTTCCAGAATTCACTCCAAGGGGACACTAGCATCTGCCTTTGTCCCATCTCCAGTGCCACATGAGAAGAAGTGCCCTCTGTCCTGTATATGTCTACTTGCAATGAAACTATTAATGACAATAATAACCATTCCTCTGTATCAGGGTGAAACACAGAGACCCAAAAAGCTGTCATATACTTGTGTAAGTTTAGAGAGCTTGAAGGTAGTAGAGCTGGGATTTGAACCCAAGTCACGTGACTCCAGATCCACACACATAATTACACTGTACAGTCCTCTTGAATCAACTTTATCTCCTTACAGCATAACATAGGATCCCTAGAAAATAACCTCTGAGTGAGATATCAGAAGACATATCCCAACAATAACTCTGGAGGACATTTGACACCTTAGAGGCAATATGAAAGGTTATTGTCATCTTGAGAGAATACCTCGTGCCCTGAATTCCAAGATATATCTGAGTGACTTGCTTCTATCTTCTGGTCTCTGGGGGTTCCCCACCAGCCCGGGTACTGAGCATGACAAGTAGGTCATATTTTTCTCTCTTCTGTACCCACAGGCATGCATGCGTTATCCGTGGCCAAGTGATGACATCAGATGGGACCCCACTGGTTGGTGTGAACATTAGTTTCGTCAATAACCCTCTCTTTGGATACACCATCAGCAGGCAAGATGGCAGGTAGGAGACCTTTTTTGGACCAGAATTAATGCAGACCCTGCTCTTAAGGGCTTGCCACGTAGCCACTGGTTGGATGATAATGCAGAAAGAGGACCAGACTTGAACTCAGAAGACCCAGATTCGTATGTCCAGCTCTGCAGCTCACTAGTTATGTGACCTTGGATCTGACTCTGGCGGGCATCCCTTTGCCTATCAATTAATCAGTGTCTCCTCATTTGGCTTTCAGAGTACAAGATACCTTATACATATTATCCTGCCCCATGGCTTATGACATAAAATACCAGACCACTTTCTACAGATCAGCCAGCTCCAGAAATCTTAGCAAATCACACCAATGTGTGTGGTTACTATCTGCAGTCACTTAGGTGGTGGAAGCCACTGGGTGATTAGAGATCATAAGAACCTTTGGGTTCTTAGGAAAATCCTCAGTGGAATAAAGTAAAATTTCCTCAGTCATCCTGGCTCTTCCATTTGCTAGCCCTATGTTCTTAGACAAATCTCCTCACCTGGCCGGGCCTCAACTTCTTCATCTGTTAGAGAGCCCTGATACTGTCTAGCTCACAAGTTGGTTGATGGATGGGGAAGCACCTTGCACATAGTAGGTATTTAATAAATCTTAGTTCTCTGCCCTGCTCTGGTTCATTACTGTATTTCCAATGTCTTGCACATGGTAAGTACACTATTAACTATTAAAATTACAAAAATATTGAGTGATGAGAAAGTGATGGTTACAGGGTAAGCAATGAGAATATTTTGAAGAATAGGGGAGGGAAAGGAGGAAAGTAGGATATTTAGACTGTCAGTGGTGACAAGTCCTCTATTTTTAATAAAATCAGGTGGTGGCAGTCCATCTGGCTAAGTGTAGGCCCATAAGGTTGATTTTCACTCTGTGTTGGAAATTATGCTCCAAGCTGATTGATTTTTAGCACCTCTTTAATCCAATATCAGATGTGAACATGTCCCGGCCGAGGTGATAATGAAGTAGAGGCTCATCTGTTTGTAGACATGTGTGTTTCTGAGACAGGGTTGGCAAGCTTGGTGTGGGGCACCCTCTCCTGCACCCCCTATGAATGGGAAGGGGCCTAGCTGGGAGAGGTTGGCTGCCAGTCCCTATAGGAATACTCTAACCAGGCCAGGCAGCCGCCCTCTGCCCCACACATTCCACCTCAGGAGCACCCCAGTGCAGACTTCCAGTGCAAGGTGAGGTCGTGTCCTTCCTCCTGCTGTCCTTACTGCTGTCCTTACTGCTATCCCGCCCCAGGGCTGCCAGCCTTATGGCAACGGCAGATGTGAGCATTATAGGCAACGAGTATTCCGACTACATTATTACCAGTTGTGAAACAGTTATCAAAAAGGAGACTTAGGACTGCTCATTTTTGCCGTGAAACTTGCCAGTCAGTCACTTAAGTGAAATGGCATATCGCCAGTCTCTGGCCTTGCTGTCCTTGGTGAGGTCCATAAAACACACGCGCTTTACTTAGTTTGGTGACCCTTGGGAAACGCCCACTACCTCCCCCAGGCTTGATCCATCCTGTTCCTGCTGCCCTGATGATCTCTTACCCCTTGAGAGCCTGCGGGTCCCAGGAGGGATGTATGAGCCCCATTTACTGCCTCCACCTACTGAATTACCTCATAGCAGTCAGAGTCACTGCAACTTATCACTCAAGTTTCAGAACAAATTTTCCCAATGCATTTAGGGGTTTAGATTTTTTTCCCCAGCTTCATTGCAGCACAAAGTAATGGAAAGTCATTGTATATGTGGTGGTGAGCATCTTGCCCTTCCCTCTTCCCTGACAGGCCTTTCTTCTCATAGCCCAGGAGAACATCAAAGCCTAGAGGTCTAAACTGAAGGTGACAGTACGTGCAGGTGGACTGGAAGTCCAGGAACCAGGCCTAACTCATTCTTTGTAATGTCCACTCTCCAGCCCCCCTGAGACTTGCCTTTGTCCAGCTCCCACAACCCACTCACACCCCCACACACACACTGAAATACCAGACCTCAAGGCCTAAGAGGAGCTCATAAACAGAAAACAGTAGCAGGGAGGTTAGCCAAAACTGTCATTAAAGAGTTAGAAAATAGAGGGCCTCCCCGGTGGCGCAGCGGTTGAGCGCTGGGTTGCGAAGCTGCCTGCAACCTCTGCAGCCGGTTCAATCCCCGGCTGCTCCCCGGCCACCGGAGGAGGGTCCCACATGGCGCGCAGACCTCTCCTGCCGCCCGCTGCTCCCCTCAGCAGTGTACTTGGGTCCTTCTGCCTGCTCTGCTCCCCGCTCTGGCTCTGGTGAATTCTCTCACCCTCCCGCGCTTCTGACTGTACCCAGTGCATGTATAAACCAAACAAACAAACAAATAATAAATAAATAAATAAGACATGCCTCTAGAAAATTAAAAAAAAAAAAAAAAGAGTTAGAAAATAGAAATCAGGGTTAAAATGTGAAGAATAGCGGACAAGAGAAGCAGTTCAGACTCATTGAATTGAAAATCGGGATTATACAGAGTATGCTGCCCCGGAATAAAAGTACTTTGCTTTTCCCATCCCTTGTCTCATTTATCTGATGAGGATGATTTTGCTTATGAACTTCATTTTACAGAGGGAGGTTGAGGCTCAAAGTGACGTAACTCACCCATGCAGTAAACAGCACTGCTTGGACTGGCCCTGAGCTATCTGGGCTCCATCTGAGAACCAGGCCTTTCCTTGGGGTCAGATTCACACCCTTGTCCACATCAGGGTTTCCCTGCAAATGAGCGGGCCTGGCCCCAGCCCTCGGCCACATGACTGGCACCCAGCTTGCTCACAGAGAGAGTGTTTGTCTTTTCCACCACCACACACTCAGCCTTTCACAAAAAGAGCTTATAGTTTGGGCCAAAATTCTACTTGATGATTCCAAATGTTCTGTCAAAGTACAGATGCTGTTCAGTTCTATGATAGGAAAGTATTTCATGGGGGAGGGGTAATATCCCTCAAACTGTGGATATTCTGAAGAACCAACACCTGAACTCTTAGTTCAGAATAATCACCTTCTTGAATTACTTATCAAAGAACGGTGATGCCCACCTTCTTCTACCCAAGTGTGGGTCCAGAAAGGGCTGAGTGAGAAGCAGGCAAAGTGGATGGAAATCTTCTGCCAAGGACAGAAGGGTCCAGACCCGAAGCTTGGGGACCCAAATCTGGGGGCCCTGCCTACCCCAGAGCTAGGACAGATCAGTGCAAAATGCTTGCAGGTTTCAGAGGATAGAAGAGCAGTGGGCCCAGTCACACAGGATGCATTTATCAGGAATAAAGGTCTTGCATTTTAGTCTCTAAAATCAACTGCACAGATGAATGTTGGGTTGATTTATGGTAACTGCCTAAGAAGGGACTTAGGGTGTTTAGTGGGTAGTGGGTTCAGGAGAAATTGACAGTGTCATTCATGCATTCATCTTATAAAACTTTAGCGCTCAAGCACTGGGTTAGGTTCTAGAAAGACTGAGTGGAATCAATGTCCCTGGGCCAGCAAGCTGCAGTGATGCGTGGATCCATGTGTGCTATGGGGAGGGCCACGTGTGGAGTGATGGGACCCCAGAGCCCTGACTGGAAAAGGAGTTCACTCTTCTTCTAAAACAAGCAAGATGACGACCGGCTTTGAAAACTGCATCCCCAAAGTAATAGCTAAAAGAATTTCGTCCAAAGAGATATCACGGGCAGGAGGTACAGGTGCACAGGATCATTGTCTCGAATTCCTGAAGGCCAGGAACAGAATGGCAGGAGGAACAGACTAGTTTGGATTTCCCTAGCAGGAGGAACAAGACCAAATGGATAAAGAGCTGTAAGGAGAGTGAACCAGGTTTAATTTTTTTTTTTTAAGCCAAACAGAACTAACCAGATTTGGGACCTGGGACAGTCCCCCTGTGGCTATTGCAAGTGTGTAGAGCCCAGTGGCCTTTGATGGTGGCTCTGTAGAGGGGACTAAAGATCAGATTGGGGAGGGCGATGAACAAAGCCTGGGTGACCAGCCCCCAGGGACGCTGTCACAGAGCTCTCCTCTAGCTGGGGGGTGGGGATTCAGTCTTCTGGTTCCCCTTTCACTTCTAAGACACTGTGATTCAAATGGTGCCAGTCTCTTTCTGCTTAGCTATTTTGAAATTTCAAATATGGTGTAACCTATCATAATTAGAACTAAAATTGCTGTAGTCATAGAACCTTCCCAATTTCAGAATAACCATCTGAACTTTTATTTTTTTTATTTTATACATTTTTACATCATTTTTCAATTTTGCACAATGTATGCACTTTCATCTTGGTTTTAGTCCCCATACAATTGCACCCCCCCCCTTGTTTTGATCCTACTCCCTCCTCCCCTCCCCTCTAGTGTGTCTCTTGTTTATAGTTGCTTGTTGATTTTGATTTCTACTTTATCATAATTAGTCTTTTTCCTGGTCCCTTATTTAGATTTTCTAGATTCCTATTGTGAGTGAGACCATCCTGTATTTTTCTTTTTCTTTCTGGCTTATTTCGCTGAGCATGATCCCTTCCAGCTCCATCCATGTTGCTGCAAACTGCATGAGTTTATCTTTTTTGATTACTGGATCAAGAAGATGTGGTACATATACACAATGGAATATTACTCAGCAATCAAAAAGATGAACTTTTATGTTCTTACAGATGAGAAAATTAAGGATCAGAGAGGCTAAGTGCCTTCCCCAAGATCACACAGTAGTTTGCAGCAGAACCAGGACTAGGCTTAGTCTTCCTAAGATGGCAGCAAGGCTTATCCTGCTGGGTTTTCACTTCAGTTCTAGGAGGCTCTAGAACACCATGGCAGGAGCCATCAGCTGTCCTGTGTCCTGGCAAATGGCTCCCCATGAAAGTGGTTATTACTTTAATTTGGGAAAATTCTCATAGTGATTCATCCCCTGCCCCCCAAATAGAAAATACTTTCTGCAGTTTCTCCCTCTGTGGCTGCAATCAAGTCATTTAGGTTTTAAATGCTCCTCAATCAAGCAGCTGGTTTCTGGAGCTGAAAGTTTGGATTCTGTCACTGAAATCCTTAACTCTAAAGACACAATTCCTAAAATTAAAGATGAGAATGAGTAAACCTTGAAATGTTTCCAGCTCGAAGCTCTGTTTACATCCTGGAATCACTACTTGCTTGGATTTTAAAATGTCATTGTGTCTTTAAATGTGCAGTCTTCACCCAGAGTAAAAGTATGGATCGTGAGATACTAACTTCATGACCTAGCACAGTGCTGTTCACCACAGTGAGGAGCAGCTCCCGCAGGGGAGAGACATGCGGTTTTTACCTGACCCTTCTTTGTGATCTCCCCGCTCTTTTATAGACTCCAGTAATCTATCAGGAGACATTTTTACAAAAGCCACTCATTTTTAAAAATTAAATGAAAATAGCAGTTCTCTAATAAGTGTTTTCCATTGTCATTTCAGAACATTAATCAAAAGCTAAGTTCAGCTGGTCTTCCTGGTTTTGGTAATTAGAGAAAAACACAGAGCTTCCATTGAAACGCTGGCCTTGGGTGGGGACGTGTACCCTTGCCCCCTCTGGCTCAAAGCCCACCCCTGTGTCCTTCACAGGAGGTGACTCCTGTGGTTGGGGGCCTGCACATGGGTGCCCCACATGCCCCCTGCAGGAGTCCCCCAGGGGGACCTGTGGTGTGAGGCCATGTGAACATCCCTCTTTATGGGTCTTCAGGCTTGAAAAAGTGCTTTTAGTGCTTTGCTGCATGCTACAAAGGGAATCACGTACAATGAAGTTCAGGAGCTGCAGGTCTGCGCACAGCCACTGGGTTAGCCTGAGCTCTCCCAGGGGCTTTTCTGCACCATTTTCCCCAGCAGGAAAGCATCACACCCACTGTGTGCCTTTGGGCTGTTTTCCTGCAGACATCGTTTTTGTTGTTGTTGTTTTTAATAAATTTCCTTTTTCCCTCCTCTTCAAGTCAACAGCTTATTTAATAAATTCTAAAGTACATTGAAAAAAAAGTCTTTGAGGTTTTAGAGTCTCCCTCAACAAATGTTCAGGCCCTTTGTGTAATTTTTTTTCTCTTTTTTGTCCTTTCTTCCTCCTGCTCCTCCTCTTCCTCACCTCCTGGCCTCTGCTTTTGCTGCCGCCCCTCCTCTGCTCCTCACCTTCTTCTCCCAAACAAACAGCTTTGACTTGGTCACCAACGGCGGAGTCTCTGTCACCCTGCGGTTCGAGCGGGCGCCTTTCCTCACGCAGGAGCACACCCTCTGGCTGCCCTGGGATCGCTTCTTCGTCATGGAAACCATCGTCATGCGACATGAGGAGAATGAGATCCCCAGCTGTGACCTGAGCAACTTCGCACGGCCCAACCCAGTCGTGTCTCCATCCCCACTGACGGCCTTCGCCAGCTCCTGTGCAGAGAAAGGACCCATCGTTCCAGAAATTCAGGTACCATTTTGTCCAATTCATTTCTCTGGGCTTCCGTCTCGTTTTGGGGGGTGGAGGAGATTCTCAGATAAAGGGGAAAGAGGTACCCCAGCCGCCCATCACACAGAACCAGCGCCACACCCCCCAGTGGCGGTGGTGTCAGAACATGGGGCCACACCTTTTACACACTTAAAATACATGAGCACTGAACACTGCCTGGCGCACTCCACCATTTAACACACTCCCCTCTTTCCACTGTGCCATCCGGTTCACTTCCACTTTCCTTTTCCCCAACCCCCCAAAACCCCCTTCTCATTATTTCTATTCAAAATGTTTATAATGAGAGGTTCTACCAGGAGTAAGACACAGGATCCCCAACAATTAGCCTTAGAATAAAAACTCAACGAGAAAATATATATGAAGTGTTTAGCACAATGGCACCTAGTAAGTGCTCAATAAATTTTAAACATTATTTTTAAGATGAATAATTAATTTATTATGCTGATGATTTTTTACGTGCTCCGCCTTTTTTCCTATTAAGGATTGCTCTGGCTCGAATCTATGGACCCAAGTGCTTTCTTTACTTAATTGCCATCAAAAGGGGGTAATTTGGAAAGATGCATTTTAGTCTGATAGATTCTGTGCCTAACACAGCTGTGCAGTGTTGAGTTCCTTCACGATCCCAGCCAGATTTCTAAAGGCTCAAAGGAAGGCGGGGGGAGGTAGAGCTCTGGCAGTGCCAGAGCAGGGAGAGGCCCCAGTTGTCTGCCTGGCTAATGAGCACTCCAGCCATGTGCATGTTAATGACTTGCCTACACTGAAGAGCGGGGAGTGTCTCTATGTGCATGTATTTCATGCCTGACTGAGTAAACACATCTCCCCGTGTGTGCCCTGCTGAGTGGCGTCACACGCCAGCTCATATGGAGGAAGCACAATCATTCTGGAATTCTCATTGCACCCGCAGGTTGAAACCTCTCTCCTTTTCAGAGATTTGGCGCTAGTCTCCAGTCTCAACTACCAGGTTGACCTTTCTCATAAAATGACTGTCAGTGGAGAAAAGAGCTTGCTGGAGAGAAATAATTTGTTACTCAACCCTGGTTCAGCTCCAGCTAGATCCTCTCCCAGGACAGGGACTCCAGAACAAATGAGGTGAAAGGTCCCACCTTCTTTACAGTGCTCCTTGGACTGGGTGTCTGCAGACCCACTTGGGTCACTAACCTTGCTTATTATCCAATTCATGGAATACATGAAAACAATCTTGGGTTTTCCCAGTCCAATCTTTGGCTAGCCTTTGCAAATACTGGGAATGTTAAGGAAAGGAAATATTTATGAGAGCATCTGGGGGGCCCTTCAGCCCATGGCGTAGAGCCTGCTGTGCCGGGAACCTATCAGCTCTAATTTAGGAAGATTGCTTTGGCTCAAACACAGACCTTAATATCTCCTGTTGGTTCAGGAAAATGGGCTAGGGGTCAGAGTTCACACCCTTCTGTCAAAAGGACAGAAATCAAAAGACTTTCTATGTGAAGGCCCAAGTTCCTCTGTGAACACATAGTTAAAATAACTATTGTCCTTTAATGAATATGCTAACCTTGATTGACGTCACGTCCCCTTCTTGAAACAGAGCCCAGAGCATCAGACTGATAAACGTTCTCTGCTGCTGCCATGTGCCTGAGTGTCCTGGTGTTAATTTAAACATCCCATCTTGGAACTGAACAGATAAGGTGCTGCCTTCCCCCACCACCCTCTTCATCTGACACTGGGGACCCGCTGTGGCCCAAGACTCCATTGGGTCCATTCTGCCTCTTCTCATGGAGGAGGTGGGTGTCAGCCTCAGGTCCTTGGCAGGCGGTGCCCTCAACTCTGCATCAGTGTTGGGTCAACACCTCATAGTCTCTGTTTACTTTCCTGGAGAGGAAAATCATGTGAAACAGTTCTTCCTTTAGGAAAGTTCTGAGAAACAGTCCTCCTTGTGGTGCTGTGTGCCAGGTACTTCATATGTGACCTACTCAATCCTCGGTGAGGAAACGGAGATTCAGGGGTGCCATGAGTGTTCTAGGATGGCACGTCGAGGGGTTGAGAGGCAGCATCATGCTGAGTATTTCCCCACATGATCTCTGGGGTCCTCCCATGCATGTGCTGGGATGAGGAGGACCTGAGGCCTGTGTGGTGTGGTGGCGTGTGCGGGGCAGGTGGCGTGTGCCTCCTCTCCTGCCTCTTGTTTTTCTCCTCCCCACAGCCTGTCTTTCCTTCTCTTCCTTTTTTCCTCTTCCTGCTCCTCTTTACACTCTGCCCCCCCTCCTTTTTTTCTTTCTCTTCTAGTTCCTGCTCTCCTTCCCTCACCCCCACTCCCATTTTCTCCTCTGCTTCTTAAATACCCAGAGTCCAGGGAGCTGTGGCTCCGTTCCCTCCACCTGTCACCCCATGATCACCTCTTGCTGTGATCTGTCTCTCCAGGCTTTGCAGGAGGAAATCACCATCTCTGGCTGCAAGATGAGGCTGAGCTACCTGAGCAGTCGTACCCCTGGCTACAAGTCTGTCCTGAGAATCAGCCTCACCCACCCCACCATCCCCTTCAACCTCATGAAGGTCCACCTCATGGTGGCGGTCGAGGGCCGGCTCTTCAGGAAGTGGTTTGCGGCAGCCCCAGACCTGTCCTATTATTTCATCTGGGACAAGACAGACGTCTACAACCAGAAGGTGTTTGGGCTCTCAGAAGCCTTTGGTAAGGCCCCCAGCCACAGGACTCAAATCATCCTCAGACAATTGCATCTGGGGGAACAGGGCTCTTTTCCTCCCTCATTTCTTCTTAAGTCCTTGCCCCAGAGATATCTAAGCCTTAGTTTGTACTCAAAGACCTGAATGTAGAAAACTTGACCATTTAAAACAGGGTTACAAAACCAAAACCCTTGAAAAACATCACGGTGGCTGTGATGGGCTAAAAGAGATTGTCAGTGTCACAAAAACAGACCCCCACGGCCTTGCCCTGTCCACGCCCCACAGTCTGAGAAACTGGACTTAATGGTTTAAGATCGGGGAGCCTGGAACTCCTGGTTTCTTCACTTCTTGAGGCACAGGCGCTAAGATCCTTCCTTCATCAGAAATGCTTTTTGACCTCTTTCCCTCATTTCCGGAGAGGCTGTCTCTTTGTTGTCATTACTACTTTTTTTAGATGAAGCAGGAGGTGAAGATAGCCTCCCCAGGAGTCCCAACCCCACCCAGACCTCGGACTTTTGGGGGGATGTCTGTGTTCATTTCAGCTTCTCGATTAGAGCAGAGACCCAGAGGGTTCAGAGCTGGTCTGTTAGCAAGCATTTAGAGTAAGCATTTAGAGTAACAGCCCGAAAAATCCCTTCTCATTTTGAACAACTCCAATTTCATTCCCTTTCTGGATTCGGTAAGAACATAACGAGGAATAGAGAAGAAGTAATGTGGGAAGGAGGGAGGGAGGGAAGGAAATGAGGCGTGTCTGTTAAGTGCCCACTCAGGATGGCATTCCCCTCCTCTTTACCTTAGTATCACGGTCACCCTAACAACCATCTATGGGTCAGAAATTGTCCTTAAATTCCGCTTGCGGAAGCTGAGTCTCGGAGAGGTCAGGTGACCTGCCAAAGAGAATCAGAAGGAAACAGAGCTGGATTTTCCCCAGATCCTCCCCAGGGGTTTGCACCCCACCCTCACCTGAAGAGCACAATGGAAGCGAAGGTGCACCTCTCGCTGCTCCCAATCCCTTCTGTAGACCAGCGACTTCTGAACAAACCAAAGTGCATTCCCTTGGGGAATATTATGCAGAAACTATGGATTGGAAGACCATGTGGTAATAGGGAAAATGCTCATAGAATAATGCTAAGTTAAAAAGACTGATTATGGGGCTTCCCTGGTGGTGCAAGAGGTTAAGCACAGCACTATGAAGCTATCTGTAGCCTTTGCACTAACTTTCCACTATTTCAAATAATGCTGTGAGGACTTTTTTGCCTAAAATATTTTCCATACTGGTATTTCCCTGGAATTGATTCACATTTAACTTTTCCTAATAATATGCGATAACTCTGCCAAGAAAAAAAAAGGGGGATATTAAGGCTCAGTATCCTCATGTTAGTATTGCACTAAGATCTGGTTCCAAATTAGAAATAGGATCATTTTTCCCTTTTCTAAAAAAGACAAGCGAGAGCTTTGCATGCAGAGTGAAAGCCAAAATGAGCTTGCACACCTATGCATTTTATGCCTTTTGGTTTTTACAGTTTCCGTGGGTTATGAGTATGAATCCTGCCCAGATCTGATCCTGTGGGAAAAAAGAACAGCTGTGCTACAGGGCTATGAAATTGATGCTTCCAAGCTGGGAGGATGGAGCCTAGACAAACATCATGCCCTCAACATCCAAAGTGGTGAGTGGATTCATAGAATTTCTGGAGCCAGACCAGGGGGTGACCCTTGTTTAGTAACCTTTTGCCCTGCCAAACAACAAAAAAAATGCATATGTGGTCAGTAAGTCAGAGGATTAGGATTAGTCAATAAATATTCCTTGGATGCCTGCTCTGTGCTTGCCATTCCTGGGCATTAGGGGTGCAGAAATGAAAGTCCCAAGAGTTTTCACTTTTGGCAGACATTCCCAAGTTATTTCATGGCTGTGCCAGTGCCATCACTGAGGGTCGTGATGGAGGCACAGGAGAGGAGCACCTCACCCAGCGTCTAGATCAGCAAGGTAGGCCTTTGCAGAGGATTTCTGAATGAGTCCTAAAGAGACTATGGTCAGCCCTTTGTATCAGGTAAGGAGTACATTCGAGGCAGATGCAGTATATGCCAAAGTGCTGAGATTCAAAAGACAAATAATTGGAAAGAACATTCTTTGTAGTTTCAGAAAAAGGGGGAAATACAAGGAATAGCAAAAGCTCAAGCTGTGCCCCTGAGCAGCTGGCACCCAGGTTAGGGTGATTAGGACTTTTGATTTCATTCAGAGGCCAACATCAAATGTCTGAAAAGACTGGGGCAATCCAGTGACATCATCTGTATTTTAGATAGCACACTCTGACTGTGTTCTGGAATAGGCCAACTTACTACAATAACAATGTCAGATGTTGCTGGCCTACTCTACAGATGAAATGAATGCCTACCAAAGAGATAGCATGTTTGGGGTAAGGGGGGGAATTGATAAAGCCATGACACAGGGCAAGGAGACCAAAAACTAACCTGTGAGTAGTAATTAGGACCTGTTGGTCATCAGTGTCAGAAAAGTCAAAATATACAAAATTGCCATCAAGTGCAATGTTTATTTCTTACTCACCTGGAAGTGTAGAGAAAGATAATGCGAGGCTGGGTTAGCACTCTGTGGAGTCAGAGTCCAAGTTCTGCTCCTCAAGTTGCTCTACTAGGGCCTCCATCCCCAAGGTCATAGTTCAAGGTCATAGCCTCCATCCCCAAGGTCACCTATTTACCAAGTCCAGCCCTCACATCTACTTTGTAGCTGGAAGATAGAAGGGAAAAAACTATGAGCAAGCCTCTTCCACTGTAAGGACACCACTCAGCAGCATCCCACACCACTGCTTCATCAAGGGCCAGAATTTAGTCATACACCAAGTGTAGCTGCATGTGAGGCTGGGATTGTAGTCGGTTCCAGGGACTCATTGTCCAGCAAAACATCAATGGTTCTGAGACCACCGAAGAAGGACAGAGTGGATAGGGTGGATATGCCTGGCACACTATATGTGCTTGTGTGTATGTGTGTGTGTGTGTGTGTGTGTGTGTGTAGAGTTGGTGTGTGATGAGGTAAAAAGAGCACAAACAGTAGAGTAGAAAAATGATTAGTCTATGTAAAAATGAATAATACCTGTTTAGTAATGGACATCTTCAACAAAGCTAACAATTGACAGCCTGGGAGAAGATTCATATGGCCTGTAAAAACCCAGACTCATTCAGACTTCAGTGTGGGAGGGGTGAGGCAGAGGCAGAGTCCAGTTCGGAGGCTGTGACAATAATACAAGTGATAAAGGATGATCGGGGCCCCACAGAAACTGGTAGAAATGTGAGATCACTGATCACTGATAAGCTTACAGTCCCCAGATCACTGATAAGCTTACAGTCCCTGCATTTTGCCTGTGGAGAAAATGAGGCCCATGGCAGTTAGAGCAGTGCTGGGACCTATGCAAGATCTGGGATCAGCCCAGTCATAGCAAAACCAAGTAAAAATCCCTATCTCTTATCTCTGCCTTGGTGAAGAGAGACTGTGAGGTTTCTCTCATGCATTCTTATAAGCGTTTATTGGTATCTACTCATGTCCAGTTCTGTGCTAATCATGAGATACAGAAGGGGGAAATTTATCTCCTTACTTAAAATGGTCTCCATCTGAAGAGAGAAAAGTAGGTTAATGCAATTAAGAAGCCATGCTACACCAGAGGCATGGACTAGGTGCGTGGAGTGTGTGCAGCCTGTTTCGGAGGCATTGAAGCCAAAAGGTTAAGATCCTGGACTCAGGAACACTTACCACCTGTGTGACCTCAGGTGCCACTTGCCCATCCCCCTGTTAACGCAGGGGGATAATAGTACCTACCTCACAGAGCTGTTGCCATTCAGTCAGTAAAGCACTATGTTTTAGGACACTCTGGGTTTCCTTTTGGGGGTAAGGCCTGGGGAGACCAGTCTGGAAGTGAAAGGTGGAGATCTTGCATTCCTTGCAAAATCAGGGTGACTCTGTGATCAACCGCTACAGAGAGCTGGTTCTTCACCCTGAGTGATTCTGTTCTGTCCTTGTCACAGGCATCCTGCACAAAGGAAATGGGGAGAACCAGTTTGTGTCTCAGCAGCCCCCTGTCATCGGGAGCATCATGGGCAATGGACGCCGGAGAAGCATCTCCTGCCCCAGCTGCAATGGCCTCGCTGACGGGAACAAGCTCCTGGCGCCCGTGGCCCTCACGTGTGGCTCCGATGGGAGCCTCTATGTGGGGGATTTCAACTACATCCGAAGGATCTTCCCCTCTGGGAACGTCACCAACATCCTGGAGCTGAGGTATGTAAGGCAATGTCTTCCCCGCAGTCCCTTTCCCATCCTCTGGGCCCAACTTCTTTATCCACTTGGCCCAGAGGAGGATAGGACAGACCTCACCTGTCAGGTGCTAAGACTTTTCACTTCCCAGCTCAGTGGCTTGACCATAAACGGGGAACCTTAGGGACACAGGTGCTGCTTTCCAAGGGCAATGTATCTAAGCCACTCCTGGGACTAGCAGATGTCCTTGGCATCCAGACAGTGTTGAAGGCTCCTAGCAACCAAGAATTAGACTCCTTGGAGCTCCTTGAATCTTCTTTCTGTTTCCTAGCACCAAACTGATAGGAATTAGTCACAGGAGTTCATTTAAGGACGACGGAGGGCAGAACAGACAAGCCCCTGAGCCAGTGTGAACAGTGCAGCCCCGTTACTTGACATTCATCAGAGTTAGGAGCATTTCTCTTCAGTTATCCAGTACTGAGGCCAGGCCCACAGACTAAAACTGTCCATGCCTCTCTGTTCCTAAGTGGCCGCAGAGCCAGCTGTGTCAGCCCTGACCACAAGTGGAATGGAACGCAGCCACACTCACAGCCCACTAGGTTGGGTTTTCTCTATGCCTCCCCACACCAGGTCTTCTTAGAATCAGAGCATTGTCTTAGAGAGGGTTCTAGAGTTGCAGAAAAGCCATGGTTCTACACAGGGGAGCCCCACTTTCCCTCCCAGGAGACACCATCCCAAGTTCTCCCTACAGCTGCTTTAGGGAATGGGTGCTGCCCATCTCCTGGCCATGTGAGGAACAAGCCCTTGAGCTGGAAGCCTTCCTCCAGAGTGGCCAGGGCAAAAGGAAACTCACCTTTGCTAGGCTCCTAGTACTTGCCCGTATAATAGCTCTGCCGGGTGTGTATACCTATTGCCCTTCACAAACAAGAAAAGGGAAGCATGAGGAATTTGAAGACCTATCCTTGGTCCAGCTTGTAGAGTGGCAGGCTCATCCACATCCAGAAGGCCATCACACATCTCTGCTGGCCCAAGTATTATCATCTGGTCCGATGAGGCCCACTTTTGCTTAATGCCTTGTTAAGTTCTTCCCTGCTGGTAGGTGCCTGCTGAGAAGCTCACTCTGCAGTGCACATGTAAGTAAGGCTTCCTGCTGACTGACAGCCACCATGGCCCTCAAGAGATGTTAGTATTCACCCCCTCACACACACAGGGACAAGTGAAGAAGAGGGTCTTTGGCCACGAGAAGAATCACGTGCTATGGACTCATAGGAAATCAGATATCAGACTGAATGAGAACCAGGCCACTGATGGAATATTCTCTGCTTTTCTTCTCTTTTATATGAGTTGGACTGGCATAGACATCTGTCAAGGGGCAAGGAACCTTTCACACTATCTTTCCATCTCCTGCTCTGTGATCGAAAGAGCCATGGTCTGGGGGGCTGGGGGTGGGGTCAGCCCACCTTCACAGGGAAGCTGTACAACTTTGGGCAACAACCTTATCTGGGCCTCTATTAATCACATCTTTCAGATAAGAGATCCTCTTTTCCCTGCCTCCCTCCCACAGCTGCTGGGAGAGCATGAAGATAGAGAGTAGGAAAGGGAGGAATGAAAGAAATTCAGAAAGGAAAATAAATTGGTCATTATATTATCATCTTAATATATTTTTTTCCTAGGCCTGTTTCTCTGGCTCACTCCCCCCCACACACACCCCTGCTCTAACTATGGTATACCCTGAATTCTGCCGCCCCACATGGGGACCATGGTGGTGGGCTATGCAAGTTTCAGTAACTCCCTGTAGGGCAGTGGGTACACAGAGACACAGCAGTGAGCGTGGGTATCTCTGGGAGTGCGTCCACGCAGGCCAGGGAATCGACTTTTTCGACTTCTGTCTCAGCCCCAGTGAAAGAGCAGAATGTGTCAACCTCAGCTTCTTCCCCTACAGTCAGCAACAGCAGTACAGGGGAAGCCATGCCTCTTCTGTGATATATTGCTGATTGTAAGTGAGCTCACTGACAAGCAATATCCAATATAAAATATATCAGTGTCATAGCTGCTAAGTCTTTATTTATTATAGCATCGTACAGTACCACTGCTGTCAAGTTTTCAGGCTGCTAATAATGCTTCTAACCCTGCTGCTAACACCTCATTCTTTCTTCTATTCCCTGCTCTCCTGTCTTCTGTCAGAAATAAAGATTTCAGACATAGGTAAGCCAACCAGTGGAGAATTTCCCGTCTCTCCTCTGCCTTGTTGCATGTTGTGGTAAGCTGCTCGTGTCACTTTCCCATGGCTCAATGGCAAATGAATCCTGTGTGGTTGGAACTGATTGGGGTAATCAGTTACAATGAGAGGGTGTCATTAATAATGGTGGGGGTGGGTGGCGAGAGCCTGAACTCCTTTCATCCCTAAGAAAGTGCAGTGGGTACTTTGGTCGGCTGTGAATTACAGTAATAGGGGGGAAAGCTTGCACCTGACATAGTCATTTGAACAGCACAGCTTGCTTGTCCTTGAAATAAATGGGACACGATCCTAGCTGTGTTAGCTGTGTTGAATGACTTTGATGGTCACAATGGGAAGTGCTGGGAACATCTCGATCAGGTGAGGAATCTGGAAGAAGAGAGGTTTCAGATTGGCACTTCTGTGGACATTCCAAGTGCTTCAACCTTGGTGGCTGGGATGCCAGGTGACCCCAGCAGAAGGTTTGCCTGCAAGGTCAGAGTAGGGAAGATGTTCATACCCTAGGGACCACCCAAAAAGAGTATCCCCCAAATTGGGGCTTTGTCATGGAGTATCGCTGTCATGGAGGCATGGAGGGACAGTGCAGCGGGCAGAGTGCTCCCCACTCTGTCTGCTGTCAGCGTCATCTGTCAGGCAGTGCTTGTCTGCCTCCTAGATTATGGCTGCCTCAGAGTGTCCTCACCCCACACACATGGGTGGCTTGAAAGTAGTCTCGGGCAGTGGAAGCTGTAGCTGTAGCTACAGAGGTGGCTCTTCGTTATCCATGTGTGGCTCAGATCAAAATGGCCTGAGGGATGGATGCTCAGTTAGGACGAAAGTGAATCTTAGGCTGGTAGAAATAATCAAACAGACCTAAAGTCCAATAATGATAACATCCATATCTACATAATTAGATGTAGTACTAATGTAACAATTATACATATTCTTTTAACATAATAATATAGAGAAAACATAGTGCAGCGGGGGAGAGGGGTTCCAATGATTTCTAAACTATCCTGTAAAGCAGGCACTCATGATGCATCCAGTTTATAGAAGAGAAAACTAAAATTCCCCAAAGTGTGATCTTGAAAAAAATTACTTCATTGTTCTGGGCTTTAGTTTCTAACTTTAAGTTAATAAAATCTCCTTGAAGGTTACTATAAGGGCCAGAGAGGATGTCTGTAAAGTATTGTGGCTAGAATTGTGCCAAGTACATAGAGTAGCTTCAAAATAGTAGCAGTAAATAATAATAATAATAATAATAATAATAATATGTAATTATCTCACCACCATCCCAATTGTATGATAATGATGATGTCTTCATATTTCCCAAAAAGGAATTCAATTCTCCTCCAACCAAAGACACGTGCATTGAATAAGATTTTAGAACAAATGAAAAAAGGTAGAAACTCAAATACTGGATTGTGCATTAGATTAGATTGTGAGCTTCCTGGCAGCCAGAGAGTAAATAAGGAAATTAATTATTTTCATGGTTTGCATTATCAGAAAGAGGAAAATATGCCCACTTCCCAGGGAAAGAGCATTATTTTCCTGACACTGAAATTTTTTATGAGTGATACTAAACTATGCATTGATTAGTGCCCTCAGTTCAGTTGTGCAGAAAATACCAAAGTGCATTTCATATAAAGATCTTAGATGAGAACTTAGCATGTAACAATCAGTGGAGGTAGCTCCCTGGTACAAAGCAGCAAACAACAGGACCTGATGGGGAAGAATCCCGAGGCCAGGGCGCTTGTCCAGCTTTGCTGTGCATTCATCATGTGGTCTCACACTGGTCACCTAGCTTTTCAGGTTTCCAGCCACCAGCAGTAAATTAATTGAAGGAACTATGATTTGGGTGCCTTTTGTTTCTGATCTTTACTGATCGTTTGATATGTCTGTGGTATGATTTCAAAGCCAGCTTCCTCCTTCTCTCAACTCATGGGTTTCTCAGGTGCTTCCAGACATTTCTAAAGTGAACTAAAGGGGAAGGGAAAAAAAAGAATGCCTTTCTGCCTTCCAGTTTTCTAAAGACAGTCAGGAGTGGGAAGCCTTGAGTTCAGCTCTGGTTTTACTGGCACCTGGATATTGGCAAATCCCTTCCTCTCTCTGGGCTTTAGTGTTTCTTTCAGTAAATGTCAGAAGTGGATTAAAGAAATTCTAAAATTTTGTCCTCTTTATCCATTAGCATTTACTGTCTCAGCTGCTCCCGGGAACAGTGTTTGAGTCCAGCCTGCTGCCCTTAGCCCCGGTGTGCCCCAGGGCAGATTCATCTCTACCGTGGCCTTTTCAGTCATAGTGCCAGCCCACATGCTAGGCATGCTCAGTACAGGGATCCCTAATCCTCTGGACCCCTTCAGGTAACAAGCAGCCTCACCTCTTCCTAGCTCTCTTCCCAAGGCTCATGGAAGAATATGTGAAGACTGTGGTTCAGAAATACATTTGAACTCCAAGCTCCATCAAGCCCAGATGCACATATTGTGCTAAATCTAACAAGCCTTTAACTGCCCCAGGGATTCAGAGAGATGGGACAATATTAGGTGTGACATACTTAGCTTTTCCATTATGCACTATAAATATTCTGAAGGCTTCTCAAGGTGACTAACTGCCGTTTATTCGGCATTTTAATTTTTTGTAATGAAAGAGGCACTAGGCTTAAACATTTATATTCTTTAAACTATGTTGTCCTCAAAATAGCCCTTTAACGTAAATGTGCTGGGCCTCCCTGGTGACCTAGGGGTTAAGTCTCAGTGCTACCACCATAACGGCCCCCTGAGGCAGCCTGAGTTTGATCCCCAGCTAAGGAGCTGACCCACATGGAGCAGCAGACCTCTCCTGTCTCTCTGGCTGCTCAACTCAGCAGTGTATTTCAGCAGATCTGCCTATTCTTCTCCCCACTCTGTCTTTGGTGAATCCTCTCACTCCCTACACCTCTGGCCTGCACCCCAGTCCTTCTACAGAAAAATAAATTTTTAAAAAATCTTTTAAAAAAATAAAATAGATGTGCTTATCTCCATTTCTCAGATGAAAAAACTGAAACTCAGAGTAGTAGAGTGATTTGCCCAAGGTCACCAACCAAGTGGGTGGGACATTTGCTTTTTGAATCCCTGTCTGTGTCCTCCAAGGCTGCCCCTGATTTGAGCAGACCTTATTCTGAGACAGAAGAATAATTCAGAAACAGAAAATAGATCATCTTTTTTTCTAAGAAACTCCTGGCTCACCACTCCTACTAGAACATTCCCTACACCAGCCAGAAAGCAGAGGGAGGCTTGACTACAGCTCATTAACTTCTAGGATGATCCTCACAGCCTCTATTTCATGTGGCTTCCAGAGGTGCCACAGTTATGTTTTAAAAAGTAGAAAAGAATGTGGGTCCTCAGGAACTCCTATGGCAGATTCTGGAAATAGAGCTGTGACCCTATCTGTGCTCAGGATATTGGAGCTGGGGGGTGGGGAGAGACAGAATTGTGTCAGACATCGTCTCTGTCCGCAGAGTCAGACCTTGAGTCTCAGCCATCTTCCATCTCAGGCCCTGAAGACATTCATGATTGGAGGTGTAGGATGAGACCCTGCTGCTCAAAGTACAAAGAACAACATTCATCTCCTCTGAGAACTTGTTAGCAATGCACACTCTCAGGCTGCACCCCAGAACTCTGAGCTGAAAGGTGCACTTTTACAAAATCTCCAGGGGATTCACATGCACAGCAAGGCTTGAAAAGCGCTGCTCTAAGCCATGATTTCTCTTTCTGGCTGTGTCGCTGGAGAGATGCCTTCAGACCATAATGAAGGCTTTTTTTTTTTTTTTTTTAAAAAAAGGCTTTTGGATGATTCTGACAAGCAGCCATGTTTGAGAGCCATCGCTCTAGGTCCACAGAGTGTGCTTCCTTCGTCCCCCCCCAGGAAACCAGGCAGTCATTCCCCAGCAGACCTTCCTGGAGCACCTGCTCCATGGCATCTCAGCGACTCAAAGCCAATCCCTACCCTTGAGGATTCAAGATGTCACTGAAAGTTCTAAACAGACAAGTATCTTAAGGTGCTAAAGGCACTGAAGGGGTACTCTGCTGAGGGTCTAGTGGAGACAAGAGGGAAGTAAGTGGCCATTTCCAGCAGCAGGGTTGAGGGGGGCCAGGAACCTAGGAATGGAGCTACATGAGGTGATGAGGTGATACCAGAGCTGAATATTGGGGGATGAGCAGATGCACCCCAGTGAATAAGAAGCTTTTGAGGACCTGAAAAGCAGCATGCAGAAGACTTTGGAGTAAAACAGATTGGAAATAGAAGTCCACCCTGCCACTTAGCAGATTCTGGTCCTTGTCAAGTCATCTCCCTTCTCTCGGTCTCAGTTCTGACATAGTATTTTTAAAACAAAAGTGAACTTGTCTTATAGGGTAGACATGAGGTCATGTTTCCCAGGTGCTTGCATGGCATCTGGGACAGAACAGGTGCCGGAGGCAGTAACCATGCTTCACACAGGGGGGTCGTCTCTGCCGTTCTGCCTTGAGGACAGGTGACGCTGCTCCCGGTGCAGGTGGCTTGAGGAAGAAGTGAGGTGGAGACTGTTGCAAGGCTCTAGCACCTAGAAGGGCTGTCGAGATGTATCATTTCATTTGAACTTAATGGCAAGCCTGTGAGTGAAGCTGAGCAGGGGCTTAGTCATGCCACAACTGAGGAACCTGCAGCAGGAACCATTTAGGTGACTTGCTCAAAAAAGAACCCACATCTCCTAAGTGCAGCACTACTGCTCTTCCCCGACCCTGAGCTGACCACCAGACAGCAGATTGCCCCTAGGCACAAAAGATGGGGCACAGCTCTTATAGGCTCTGGGACACCCCTGCAGGTGCCACCCTCTTCTGGAATTCATCCATCCGAGAAACTGCATGAGTGGCAGTTCTCAGGGTGGTGCAGGAAGGCATGCACCAGAGGCTCAAAACCCAGAGCTAAGTGATAGCGCCCCCCACAACACTTAGGCACCCATTTCTGCAAGGTGGAGAGCACGAGTGATATGCTAAGAAATTAAATAAGTGCCTCCACCTCCCTACTGTCCTGCGGAAAGCAGAGATCATGGCTGCCCTGGCATCACAGAGCAGGATCCAATGTCAATGCATTTTAGTTAGTCAGACTCAGTGTCATCTGCACAGGAGCATTTCATGGTAAACAGGACATCTCTCTTGTTAGCACCATGCCCAAAGAGAATGAAAGGAAAGCTAAATAATGTGACTGAAAATAATGTTTAAATAAAAGCAAAAGTGAAAATGCCCGTCATTTAATGCAAGTGGTAGTTGTGGGCTAGAAGGCACCACATTGAACATTGGAAATACAAAAAAGTGCTTCAATCCCCACCTCTTCCATTTAAGCCTTGACAGACTGGGGGGGACAGACACATTAATAAATAGCCACAGCATTATATCATGTCCTGTGACCCAGGTCTGAATCTCGGCACCCAGAGGAGAAAAGTTGGGAAGGTTTTGCCAGAAAAGGTACCATTTGAGCTGACACTGAAGACTGAGAAGTTAAGCCAACTGACAGGAGGAGGGAGTGGAACATTCCATAGCGCAAGAGCAGCTTGCAAGAGCAGCTTACAAAGAGGCCTAAATGTATATTTTAGGGATAGTATTGGAGCTCGGGGTGTCTGAGGAAATAGCTAGAAAAGGGCCGGGAAAATAGAGCAGCAGCAGACTCAAAGGGCCTTGTGCTCTGCTGGGCTGGGGCATCTGAACTTAGCCTGTGAGAAGTGGCAGTGCTGTAGGGAATGCAGGGAGGTGACAGCTTGGCATTTGGGTTAGATCAGGGAAGAATGGCTTGGGGAGGACCCAGGCCACAGGCAAAGAAACCGGCTCTTTAATTGAGAATGAGGTGATGGCACAATAGGTTTAGGGCTAGAGAGGCAGAACATTTGGAAAAAATCTTGTCATCTTAGCTGAATTCAGGAAGAGAAAACAAAAGAAGATTCTTGGACCTAGAGGTCTGGTACTCTTAGAAGCAGTTAGTCCCCAAAGCACTGCCGCAAGCAAAGGGTGTTTGTCATGACGAACAGTGTGACGGGTTAAGACCTCCAGAGACGTGGACACCAAAAAGATTACCCAGACTTCACACATAATTCAAACATGCCAACCTGTAAAACAAAGTTTTGTTTTTTAGAAGGACCCAAATTTGACATGCCTGATAAAATGTAGACTAGCTTTTTTGGAGACTTTTCCGATTCTCCCTTGCATCTTGAAAGGGTATAAAATGCCACGACTTAGCACTGCTGTGTCTGTCCCCCTGAACCCCCTAGCACAATTCGTGTCACAGTGTCCAATGAAAATGGCCAGTGCCAGGGCATCCAGCCTGAACTTCAAATCAGAAGTCTTTCAGGACACTTAGAGGAGTCTCCCAATATTGAGTTGTGGTTTAAGGAACCAGGAGTGATCAGGCTGTGCACAAGAACTGACAATTAGCATCCCAGGAGTTAGGAGTCCAACTCCAGTGTGGCCTAGATTTGGAAGGAATTGTAAATCAGTACCATGTGATAACAAAATTGATGCTTAATAACAAATATCTACTGTAGTCCTCTCCAAATATAAAATTAGACATAATGACTAGTTATTAAAATAATTACAATTATGATTCTTGAGTGCCTACTATGTGCCATGCATGATGCCAAATATTTTCCATATCTGATTTTACATCATTTTCTCAATTTTCTGGCAAGGTAACAGTTAATAGCCCATTTTGCAGATGGAGAGAACCTGAGGTCCAGGAGGTCAGTAACTTCCCAAGGTTCTGGAACCTGGAAAGGGCAGAGCTAGACTTGGAACCTGGGCTATCTGATTCCAAAGCATGTGCAAAAATTTTTTCTCTTGTGTGATGGGGGGCAGTATCTTTGTCTCCTCTACACAGTCCTGGTCTAACTTCCCTTTCACTATTAGGGTAGTCTTGTCTTTATGACCATTTTCCAGAACAGAAACAGAACAGCCCCTCTGTTTTGCTTATTTTTCTTTGGGTGTTGCTACAAATTACAAGTTAATCCTGCAATTCACTTTTATCTGACTCCAGGAGGAAAACTCCTGCACTCCTGATAAGTATAACCTAAGTGTCAACATAAGTTGGTTGTAACACGGCATAAGATGGTGCTGACACTGCCAGGGAGTCAGATCTGGCAGGGTCTTATCAGTGAGTCCCAACATGGGAGTGGGGCTGCTATGAAATCTGAGAAAAGGGCTTGCATTTCAAATTCTCAAGGTGTTTTTTTAAAAGTGAAGACTTCCATGTTTCTGGTGTGGATTCATAGGCTACCTATTAATAATCTCTTTAAGAAAGCATTATATTGAGCATGTGATCTGGGTGAGGCACCAAGCTGGGCATTACCATCATTAACAGGAGGCTTTTGCATCAATAGTCGGGCAGGAAGGATAGTCAGGTCAATCAATGGGGTCAGAAAAATTGGGGATCTATCACCCAAAATAGAAACATCATCTCCATAAGACTTTTTGATTGGATTCAAGTTCTGATCTGTGGCTGTCTGTAGGGGAAAAGGGGAGCACTCACCCACTGGCATGTCCTTGTTTTCCAGTCACAGTCCAGCACATAAATATTACCTGACCACAGACCCCATGACGGGGGCCGTCTTCCTTTCTGACACCAATAGCCGACGGGTCTTTAAGATCAAGTCCACAGTGGTGGTGAAGGACCTTGTCAAGAACTCCGAGGTGGTCGCAGGAACAGGTGACCAGTGCCTCCCCTTCGATGACACTCGCTGTGGTGATGGTGGGAAGGCCACAGAAGCCACACTCACCAACCCCCGGGGTAAGGACTTGCTGTTTATAAATTATCAGTAACATTTATTGGAATATTGTCCATTTCCAAAAGAAATACATGTGGCAAAAAAAATCTTGGAAAACACCAAAAACTATACAGAGGAAAGAAAGTTAACATTGTCATAATTCCACCTGCCAGAAATATTCCCATCTAGCATTTCCTTTCTTTTCGTATGCTCTTTTTTCTAAGTATTTGCATTGTTGTAATACTCCCCCCCCAAAAAAAAAACTGTCTCAGTAACCTACTTTTTTTGTCTAAATAATATATCATGAACATTTCTCCATATTGTCAAGTAGTCCTTTGTGTACTCATTTTTCACAGCTACATAGTATTCCATTAACTGGCTGTCCCATTGTTATCAATGCTATTATTCATTTGGACACTTAACATCTCATGTTAATTGTTTTATAACAATATCACAGTGTCTTATCCTTGCACCTGTTCATGTGCTATAGGATGGGTTAGCAATAAGTTTCAATTTTAAGTCCTTCAGAACGTTTAAGTCCTTCAGAACGTTGAACCTACCATCCCATAATCACAATTTCTCATTACTTTATTCACAAATATTTACTGAGTATGTAGGGTGCTGTGGTTGATTAGATAAGTTCATTATAGCAGAACAAATAACACTTGAGCATGAATCATTCAGACACTGGAGAATGGCACAGAGTCTAGATGCCTGGGAGACAAGGGAAGCTTTTTGGAGAAAGCATCATTATCAATAAATATCCATCAGCAGAACATTCATGGTGGTTCATGCCTAAAGCCAGTGACCTTCAGTTTCTAAGCCATCAATAAAATGGGGCAATAATACCTTCTGTGTCCACTTTGTAGGATTGTTCTGAGGGTCAAAATTAATATATTTTATATGATATCTTCATTAAAATGTCATTAGTGATTAGATTATTAAATAGTGCCTTAGGGAATGAGCCCCCCCACACACACATACATACACTCACATGCATGTACATGTTCACAAAATGTAGTGGCAGTGAAATTGCCCAAAAGCCTGTAATTAACCCAGATAAATGACAAGGGTGCCACAATATGAAGACAGTTTGCAGCAGGGAGGAGGAAAGATGTCCATCTATTTAGCACAACATGGTTGTGAAATAGTTGGTAAAATGCAGTTGGTATTGTACTTCCAAATCAAAGTTGTAGACTCTAATGAAATCAAGCCGTCTTGTATTCAAATTCAGTCCTTGCCACCTAATAGCTGTGTGACTTCAGGTGAGTTCCTAAACCTCCCTGAGTCCCACTTTCCTCATCTATGAAGTGAGATATGCTGCAAAGATATAGTATAGGTTAAATATTTTCAGGAATGTAAGTGCTTGGTATGATGGTACTGGGCACATGACAAACATCCCATGAAGAGTGAGCCCTGTTGTTCTTGTTATGTTTATTACATTATATCATATCTTATATCATGCTATTTCTACCGCAGACCTGGAATGGTCATGTGGTAATTCTGCAGGGTAATATTGTGGCATCCATGGCTAATCTCCCTCCTAATTATAATTTCCTTGTATTGAGACAATAGTTGAAGTGGAAAGAATACTGGGCTTGTACTTAGGGACTGTGCATTGGGGTTTTGCTCAGGCATCCATTGGCTGTGTGTCTCCCTCTGGGTCTCAGTTTTCCCACTGCTGAAAGAGCAGATTGGGCTAATGATCCCTGAGACTCCTCTCCGTCACAACATTTTACGCTCAGAGTTAAAACAGTTTCTGAGAATTTTTATTCTCTCCAGGTCTTTGTTAATTGAGCTACAAATGTGTTCTTCACCATACACACACACACACACACACACACACACATGCATGCACATGTTCACAAAATGCAGAGGCAGTGAAATTGCCCAAAAGCCTGTAATTAACCCAGATAAATGACAAGGGTGCCACAATACGCAGACAGTTTGCAGCAGGGAGGAGGAAAGATGTCCATCTATTTAGCACAACAAAAGAAGGAAAATGCAGTAATTAATCAGGGGACAGATCGCTTCTATTAGCCTGTGCAGTCAACTTTGTAAACAAGAAATGTGATTGTTCACGGAGCACTCATCAGTCCTAGCAAATGGAAGAGAAGGACAGAGCAGAGCCAGGCAAACAAGACAACTCCTGTCCTGGTACTCAAAGAGTATAATTAATTTACATTTTAGGCAGGAGACAGAGGAAAGGCTTCCCTCATCTTAGGGACTTCCTGGTCCCCCAAGTGAAATCACCCACCAGCCCTGGACAACCTAGGAGAGATCAGAAGGAACTGCTGTCCAGTGGGTTTTGACCACACAGAGGCCCTTGGGGATTAAACCACCCAAGTGACCAGCCACAGACACATGGGCTCAAGAGCAAGGGCCTAGAGACCACAAGTGCTCCTTTATCTCTCAGCCTCTGCACCCCTAAGCAGTTCACTTTGGTAGATGGACATGCAACTCTTGTGATTCTTGTGATTCTGTACCTGGGGTGGAAACCAATATCAACCATGAGCATTTTTCAAACATGCCTTGGGCCCAGTCTCAGCCTCCCACTGAATTCACATTTCCAGGAATGGAAGAGGCCAGATTTTTCAGGTGATTCTGAAACACACAGTGATTAAGAAGTACTGATGTACTGGAGTGATCCTCAAACTTTGATTTCTATCATTATCACCCAAAGTGTTTGTCAAAAAACACACATAGATGCTCAGACTTCACTTGAGTTTTTCTTTTCTTTTTTTTTCTCTGCCTAGAAGAACTGTGGTGAAGGCCAGAAGTGTGGGAGGTGAAAGGATTCACCAGAGACAAGTGGGGAGCAGAACAGGTGGATCTACTGAAATACACTGCTGAGGGGAGCAGTGGGCGAGATAGGAGAGGTCTGCTGTGCCATCTGGGTTAGCTCCCTGGCCAGGAATCGAACCCAGGCTGTAGCGATGATAGTGCTAAGACTTAACCTCTAGGCCACAGGGAAGGCCCTATGATTCCACTTTTAGTAGATGGCTAAGGTGGTAAGTAAAAGTCTCTAGCCATAGCAAGATGGAAGGATCAGTACCCTGGAGAATCTGAAGACCTGGGTTCTAATCCCTGCTTTGAACAAGTTACTTCAAGCCTGTGGGGTTCATCTCTTCAACTTTCAAAGGGGAACGAAAGTTGTTGGAAGATGTAATGATGGGCAGGTGTGTTCTGTCAACCAGCCAGGACCCACCAGTGTGTGTTTAACCTCTAACACTGAATTCCCTGCTCTGCCTTCCGTTCTCCAGGCATCACGGTGGACAAGTCTGGGCTCATTTACTTTGTGGATGGCACAATGATCAGGCGCATTGATCAGAACGGAGTCATCTCCACCTTGCTGGGCTCCAATGACCTCACCTCAGCCCGGCCCCTCAGCTGCGATTCTGTCATGGATATTTCTCAGGTAAGGGGAACCCTGTGTCTATACCCAACACCTAGTCAGTCCAGTGGCCCTTTATCTTTCTTCTGCACGAGCCTATTAAGAACACGTGCTTGATGCCAGGACTGTGAAGATCTCTAAGGACACAAAGATGGAAAGGCACGACTCTGTGTTCTGGGGGTTCACCATCAGGGATGACAGAGGGAGGCACAGAGGACAGTGATAAAATCTGCCCAAGGAAGCCTACAAGGCTCACAGTGATTTTAAAGCCACTGCTGCTCGAATTCCCTCTTTGGAAGCACAGGTACCCCTTTATTGCCTGTCCTCCTTCTAAACTGTCAGCTCCATGAGTCCAGAAATTCAGTCAGTCTTTTCCTCTACTGTAACCAGGGTGTCTGGTACACGGCAGGAACACAATCATATCTGTTGGTTGGTTGGTGGGTGGATGGATGAATGGATGGATGGACTGAGTGGAAGATTCCTAAGCGTCTCTCACCAGCTGTATAACTTTAGACAAGTTTCTGAGATCCTTTGAATCTCGTGTTTTCTATCTGTAACATGGGAATCATTGACATGGGCCTGGCAGGATTGCTTTAAATATACATGAAACAGGGTAAGCAAGGCTCCTTATCCCTTGGTACTCAGAAGTGACCAATAACACAAGTCCCACTTACACTTACACGAGTCCCACTTACACAAAGGAGGTGACATTTGTGCCAAGTTTTGAAGGTTCAATAGGGGTTTTCTGGGTGACAAGGAAGAAAGGAAACATTTCACACAAAGGAAGCAGCACATATAAAAGAACAATGTTAATGAACCAGGTACATTAAAGGAAGATTAGGAAATTGAATGCAAGACCATAGGGTTCTTGGAGGAAATAGCAGAAGTTGAAACTGAAAGGCTTGATTTGGGACCAATCGGTGAAGGACCTTAGCATGCAATGGAGACCTGAGCGGAAACACAGTGTCTGAACCTTCAGCATGTCCTTAGTTTGTCCTGCAATGAGTTGGCAAGAGTTTGTCCTTTACTGCTACATTCCTTGGCAGGGCCTGGCCAGTGCTGAATCAGTGAATCTCTGTCTTGCCAACATTTGCAAAACCAAGGAAATAAGGAGGCTTGAATTACATTAAATTGCAAATTGGTGTCAGCAACATCCAGGCTTAGCTTTCTCAACCCCCTCACTTCTAGGGTACCCTGCACACACAGGCCCTGTTTTGCTGACCATGGACCTGCTCTCTGTGGCTCAGTGACACCTCTGGCACTGGCCCATGTCAGAGTGTCCCTTCCTCAGAGCCCGCGGCTATTGCAGGCGAGGTCACAACACCCGTGTCACATCCCTGTCAGATGCTGGTGTAGCTTTCCTCTGCACCAACTAATGTGATTGTTATGCTCCAGGATGAAATCTGTTCTCTGCCACTCGTCTTTCCAACTTGGCAGGCTTCACCTCATGGGCTTGAGAGTTTCCCTCTCCAGTCTGTGTAAGCTCGAATTACCCATCAGGAAGCTGCCACAGCCCCAGGATGTGCGTGCAAGTGCTTTCCATTCTCAAAACGGGCCCTCCACCAGTCAACACAGGGTGCCGACATTTTTCAATCCACACATTGGAAAATTGTTTAACTTTAAACAGAGGTACTCCTGCCGAGCAGTCAGATCAAACGCTTGGAAGACAACTGGCTTATAGCATGTGTATGTTGGGGGGTTGGGGGGCACACTTAGATTCAGAAATCCTGGACTGAAATCTCTGCACCCCTGGCCCTCACTATCTTTATCTGAATCTAAGCATTAGATTTTTGTTTCATTCTCTAGACACAGGGTGTGCGTGTGTGTGTGTGTGTGTGTGTGTGCGCGCACGCACACATATGTTTGTGTCTTATATATAGGGATAAAGGTACTGGCTTTTGTTCTCACAGCTTCCTCTGTTGCAAATGTTTACCCAGCTCCTTTACTGTGCCATGGGGATTAGGGAGGAAAGCCAGATAGCTGAGAACCCAGCTCAATAGCAAGAGTACAAAGGGAACGACCAAAGAACCTGGACTAGCTCCTATAGAAGGAGACAAAGACCAGGCCCAAAAAGAAACTACAGGGAGACATAGAGGAGAGGAGGAACAGAAGACTAGTTCTCAGGCTATAGCCACCACAGACAACAGAGCACCACCCTTAAGAGTCCCGAGTGATTTCCTGAGAACTCACACAGGCCGAACACTGTTAGAAATGGAGGTACAGAGATAATGCAACTTCAGTTTGCTTTCTTAGCTGCCACAATAATCCCTCAAGACAGATATTATCTACCCCATTTTACAGATAAGGAAACCAAGGGTTGGTGAAAAAAAAAATCAGTTATAAATGCACAGCCCTGTGCCATGTGCCATCGGGGATGGAGAGATGATTTTTACATTTTTTTTTTTTGTGTGTGAACTCTAGCACATAAATTACACAGCACAGACTCTGGCAGCTAGTGATAGGCTATAAATATCAGTTCCCTTTAAAAGTTACAAAGAACTTCCTTCTACATTGTCTTGTAAGATCCTCACAGCTATTCAATGTAATGTTTATTACCTCCTTTCACACTTGAGGAAAGAAGTTCAAAGTATTTTAAAAATTTGAGTAGGATCTCACCTGTGGCCGTTGTGGAGCTGAGCTAGAAAGTGAGGTGCCCTGACTCCGCGTCTCCCATGCTCCCCCGGCCAGCCACAAATCAGCTCTTCGCTCATCCATTCGATGATCCAGTTCTGAAAATAACTCTGCAGCAAGGCAGTCAGTTCAGAGTGTTTTAATAAGAGCACAAAATGCTCAGGAGATAGGGAGAGAACTCCAATTCAACCTCCAGGCCACAGAATACGGGAGCTGCAGGGGCCTCAGAATGATCAAGGCTTGGGGCTCCATTTTAATGATGGGAAATTCAGCTTCTGCAGGATTCACTAAGGGGAGGTGGAATGAGAGGAGCTTGGGTACTGGATCTGGTACAGAACCACTTCACAGGCACTGTGAACAGGAGTACCATCTCCCCCATCATAGCCCCTTCTTCCCGGGTGCCTGTGGGCATTCAGGGTAGCAGGACTGTGCCTGCCTGTCCTTTCTTTCCTCCCTCCTCCCTCTCCCTCTCTGGCCACCTCCTTCCCCCCCACACACACCCATCAGGGAGCCATCTTTGCATTGTAATGACAGGCAGAAAGGTCTGCAAGCAGGTCCCCAAGGGGCCACGAGACCAGAGGGCATGAAATATTTAGCAACCAGTGTTGACAAGAAATGGGTTTTAGAAAATTGAAAATTCCCCTGTCACTTTAGAGTAAACTGTGTTCTTGATGTAGCCGCAGGCTACGGTGAGGCTGCGCTTGAGAGAACACTGGGAAGTGTGAAAATAGCAGCCCTGCCCAGTGCCTCAGGATCCCTTGTTCTGTGGAGACAGAGGAAAGCAGGCTGGGGGTGAGGGAACAAGAAGACTCCAGAAACAGAGCCTGACAGTTGGGCTCAGAAAAAATGAGAAGGACCCACCCCGTCCTGAGGGCCCTGAGCTGAAGGGGCAAGTGAAGGGGGCCTCATCTCATATGTACATAAGCCACTGGGGTTTCCTTTACCTTCATAAATGACACATGTACATTATAGAAAATGCAAAGCTAAAAATTACAAAGAAGAAAGATCAGGTTACTTCTAAATTTACCTCTAATGCCAACAGAGTTAGTATTTTGGCATTTATCACTCAACCTTTTCATCTCCCCTCTTCCCCCAATCTAATTTATTGTATTTTTTCCCCAATTGGGATCACGCTGTGCTTACAATTCTATAACCTATTCTTTCTGCTTAATATATAGCAAGCATTTTCACCGTGTCATTAAATACCCCTTTATAATATACTTTTAATGATGACACACAGTATTCTAACTTGTGAGCGAACTGAATATATTGTGATTTATTTTGCCAGTTCACATCTTTGGACATTTGAGTTGGCTCCATGTTTTGAGCATTACTTAAAAAGGCTGTGATAAATACCTTTATAAACAAAGATATATAAGAGTAAATTTCTTACCTGAAGGTATACCTTGTTTAAATAAGCCCCAGATTGTACCAAATGTCAAGGGTTTGTAAGGGGCTCAGGAACATAAGGCAGTAAGTCCTTGGGGTATGTAGGAGAGAAGCAAACCAGCCAGAGGTAGTACCTGTCAGCTCCTCCAACCCATGGTCAGCACACTGGACCTTTTGGAAACACCTTGGCTGAGGGCTTCCCTTAGTTCTGGCAACTCCAAGTGCGATACAATCCAGCCTGCCCTTCCTGAACAGAACAGTCCTCACCTCAGACCCTACCTGCTGTAATCTCCTATGTGCCCACCTGAAGGCTCACCACGATCCCTGTCAGCTTCCCAACCTGGCTCAGAGGAGGCTACTATGTGGAGCCCAAGACCTCTGATCCCCCACTTCCCATTGCCAGCTTCATGAATCCCTTGCAGGAAGACCTGTTCTCTGAGGTACTAGAACCATTAGCTAGAGCAGGGCTTCACAAACTCAGTGTGCAGAGGAGCCCGGGGCATCTTGTTTAAGGGGACACTGATTCAGTAAGTTTGGGGTGAGCCTGCCATTCTGCATTTCTGACCAACCCCCAGAAGATGCCAGCATTGCTGGTCTGCTGATCACATTTGAAGGATAAAAGACCCCATTGTGACTCCCAAGTGCACTTTAGAAGCTTTTGAATCATGGCAGTGCCCCACACCTGGGGATCTGCTCTAATTGACCAGAGATGGCATTTGAGCACCAGTACTTTCCAAAATCACAGCATCTCCCCGCCCCCACCTTCATGAAATGAGCTGCCATTATTCATGCTCCTGTGGCCCAGGCAACCTGCAATTTTGTCATTCCTGTCTTTCATATGTAGATAGTGAGACTCAGAGAGATGGAGTAACTGGCCCAAGGTTATAAGGAATGGGGCTAGAATCTGAACCAGGCCTGTCCTACTCCAAAGTCTATCCTCTTGCCTACTTGGTTTGTTTCTTTGCCTATCTGTCGATTGGTCTGTCTTTCTTTTTACATATCTATTTATTCTTTGTTAGCCCCTTCTGCATGTTTTGCCAGCCTAATTGAGACTGATATCTCAGTGGTGACTCTTGCATGAATTCACTCTGATCAGAGGGGCTGGCAACTTAGTTGATGACAGGCTGTTCTGAGGCTCAGACAGGACTATGTGTGAAGGTGCTTGGGACACTGTTACAGTCTATATGGGGTGTGGGATGATGAATGGCGGGCCCCTAGCCAGGCATTTGAGTGTCATTGTCTCCATTGTCAGGTTCGCCTGGAGTGGCCCACAGACTTAGCCATCAACCCAATGGACAACTCCCTTTACGTCCTGGACAATAATGTGGTCCTGCAGATCTCTGAAAACCACCAAGTGCGCATTGTTGCTGGCAGGCCCATGCACTGCCAGGTCCCTGGCATCGACCACTTTCTGCTGAGCAAGGTGGCCATCCATGCAACCTTGGAGTCAGCCACCGCTTTGGCTGTCTCTCACAACGGGGTCCTGTATATCGCTGAGACGGATGAGAAGAAGATCAACCGCATCAGGCAGGTCACCACTAACGGGGAGATCTCACTCGTTGCTGGAGCCCCCAGTGGTTGTGACTGTAAAAATGATGCCAACTGTGATTGTTTCTCTGGAGATGATGGATATGCCAAGGATGCAAAGTTGAATACCCCGTCCTCCTTGGCTGTGTGTGCTGACGGGGAGCTCTATGTGGCGGACCTTGGGAATATCCGAATTCGGTTTATCCGGAAGAACAAGCCTTTCCTCAATACCCAGAATATGTATGAACTGTCCTCGCCAATCGACCAGGAACTCTACCTGTTTGATACCAGTGGCAAGCACCTGTACACCCAAAGCCTGCCCACAGGTGATTACCTGTACAACTTCACCTACACGGGGGACGGTGACGTCACACTCATCACAGACAACAATGGCAACATGGTGAATGTCCGCCGCGACTCTACCGGGATGCCCCTCTGGCTGGTGGTCCCAGATGGCCAGGTGTACTGGGTGACCATGGGCACTAACAGTGCACTCAAGAGTGTGACTACACAAGGACATGAGCTGGCCATGATGACATACCATGGCAACTCTGGCCTTCTGGCAACCAAAAGCAATGAAAATGGATGGACGACATTTTATGAGTAAGTATCAAGATAATGCCAGTTGATGGTTTTGTCTCATGAGATGCATTGTAAGATTAGAAGGGAATCAATGAAGTACTAACGTTTGGATTTACTTCATTTTAATTCAGGATTTGCAGCTGTGGACCATTACCTATAATGTGTTGAGTGTTTTCATGTTCCACATCGTTAACATGGTGTAGATGAAAAGGCATGTGCAAAGGAGTCAGATGTGTTGGGCTTGGGTCCCACTCTACCAAGGAGTAAATCTCTCTAGGCCTCACTTTCCACCTCTGTAAAATCAAAACAGTGAATACCTGCCCAGTGTTACCACAGGGAGACAATGTAGGTGAAAAGTACATGATAAAGTGCTTCATATGACTGGTGTCCAGAAATAGGGCACTGAGAGAAGAAACAGTTCCATGCGGATGACTTTCTCACATAGTCAAAGTTGCATCTACAAGTTTTAAAAAGCAGATTTTTTTCACTTTAACCATTTTGGATGGAACTTATGATGTGCTTTACATGCCCTCCTTCTCAAACACGTTAGACAGCATAATGAATTATTTCTTTGCATGTATCAAGGTCATTAGTAAGAAACAACCACCACAATGCACATTTTACTGTAATATGAAGATTGCTTCCAGGAAACAAGGATACAGAACCCAGCGCCTCCACACAGGGTGACTCGAAACTTTGATTAGCTCCTATCTCATCAGTGTAGTACTGAGTTCTCCCTCTGTGTGGCGCTGTCATGTCACTATTTGCTTCAGTCATGTTCCCCGCTATACTATGAGTGGAGAACCAGAAGTTCAGCTTATTACAATCCTAGCCAAAATAAATATATTCTTAATATATTCATTATATGTTTGTTACGTATTATATATTTATTCATACATTCCTGTGTTCCTCTATGAGCTGTTTTGATGAATAGACATTGTAAATTTCTTTTTCTACTTAGATTTCTTTTAAGCTTCTTTATGAGGTCTTAGCCAGGTTCCAGACAACCAAGGTCGAATATATAACTCTTAGACAACAGTACAGAAGAAAGTCTCAGTCTTGCTGAGTATCAGCAGTGCATTATTGCACTTCATCCTCACAACAGAAGATAGGTGATAGTATTCAATTTATAGAAATAGAAACGGAGGCTGTGGCTCACTTGTCTGCTGGCAGAACAGCAATCACAGCCACGTCCTTCTGATACAAGAGCTGAGGTTCTTTTCAACTCTGCCCTGCTGCTCCTTGAACTGTACTTTTACTTAAGCTTAATCAAGCCTGTTTCTCACAGTCATAGAATCCAAAGGAAAAGGATCTGTAATAGATTTTTAAATATAATCTACACCCAAAATGTCACAGCAATTTGTAAAAAGCTCACTGGCTAAATTCCTTTCTCTAAACAAGGGCCTTGTTAATTACAAAGACAAGACAAAGATCCAGGAAAATGGCAATTATCTTGATTAACTCATTGAAATGGAAATACTCTAAATAATTCAATGCCTTCCCCTATTACCCAGTGAAAATCTCTTATACTTTATTTAGCCAATATAGGGGTTTCTTTGTCAGAGCAAGTAGAGACACTCAATTTCTTCCCAGGGTCATTCCCACAGGTCCCAAATTAAATGCTTACACATTACTGGAATCACTGCTCCCAACTAGCTCAGAAATCCAGTCTTTGCCTATACCACTACCAGAAAGGACTCCATGTTCCTCCCTGTCTTTCCCTGATGAACTAGATAGCCGCTGTATTTGCTGTTTGATGAAGAAGGAAAAGTTAGTGTCATTGCTTTTATAAAACGGCATTTGAAATTCAAAAGTATCCACTTAATAGCAGTACTCAGGAGTATAAGATAAAAGCCCTAAATAGAAGGAAAAACATAATTTTTTTGAGCTTCTACATAATTCTACTGTGTGCCAGACTCTTACACCTTTAATCTTCACAGCAACCTTTGACAGCAAGGAATTATCCAAATTTTTTACACATGCATAACCTGAGGCGCAGAGAGGTCAGGTAACTAGTCTAAAATCACACAGTGAATACGTAACAGAAAGAACTTGTAAGTCCACATTACCATACCAGCTGGGTTCACCAGAATTCTTTGTGACTATCTGTGTGATAGAGATTCAAGTTAATAGTACTATTAAAATAGTACCTACTTTGTAGCGTCTGAGGTTCAGAATTTCAATGAAATAAAATATGTCTTACTCGTCATAATTACTCAAATGATGCTGCTGTTATTTCAAGTAATATTAGTGGCAGTGCTGGTAACAGCAGAAATGTTGTTCAGCCATGAAAAGTGTTACCAGGGAGGAACTGCAAAGCTAATCAAGGAAGCAGACAAAATTTATAACTGAGGTAGGTAGGAATCACAGGTCAGGTCAGAAGAGCAGAACTAAGTGTCAAATCTGATAGATCAAGATACGAAGTAGGAAAAGGGTTAAGTCCCTGAGAATACCCAAAATGCATTGAGAAAAGTCCAACAGAGTGGGTCAACTCAGGCTATGAGCAAAGTGAGGGTACCAGACATAGACTTTCACTGGATGCTAGTCATGTGACGGGCAGGCTGGCTGGCTTCCAGACCCAAGTGTCAACCAGGCAGACAGAATGGCCCCTACCCATTTCAGAACCATTATAAGGATAAAAGTACTAACTAAATACTGAGAGTGAGAATACTTAGCAAACTGTAATGCTCCCTAGAAGTACAAGTGAGATAATAACATTGCTCTAGTGAGTTTTTTCTTTCTTATTGACAATTAGGTAGAATATTCTTTTTTTTTTTTTTTTTTTTTGGTCAAGCAAAAATAGTCTTTATTCAAATTTAATGGAAACAGGGGGCACTATACTTTGCAAGACAGGGAAAAATAAAATTTAAAAAAATTCTTTTCTTTTTAATATAAAACAATATAATCACAATACCAGAATATGGAACTCTACATTTTATTTCCTATGGGTTACTGCAACTATCAATTTTCCTAGACTGTGCTATTCACAACTTTGTTAAGTCCAAAAATATGAAACCAAAGTGGCAGGAAACTTAAGACTTAGCACTTTCACTAAATGGCATACATCAAAGGAAATCAATTCAAGGGCAAAAATAGTTGACAACCTTAGTGCCGTCCAGGAACTGCGCTCCCTGTAGGAAAGGCCAGGCCTGAAAGCCAAGGCTTTTTTGATAGTCTACTGTGGGCCATGAGTAAAGGGGGTTTGCAAAGAGAAGATGTTTTCAGTTGAGCAGGAAGGCCTGGCACCAGGAGGCTTCACAAAGAGGAAGTGCTTAGATTTAACTATTGTGAACACACCATTAGGGGAGTTAAAAATGTACAGCAGTGACATGTTCTACTTCAATCACTTGTGCTACAGCTACGGGGGGCTGGGGCCGGGCCAAGCCATTGCTGCAGTTGCTGGGATGCCGTGGGTGCATGTTGGGCGCCTGAGGTACCAGGCCCAGTTGCACCACGTGGAGCACTTCTTTATGGGCTACGGGAAGATCCTGGAGGTGGATCTGAAGAATGAGTATGGTTTGTGGAATATTCTTTTTTTTAACAAATCATCCACTATCATTCATTGACCCCCTCCATCCTTGCTACCACCCCATCCATTCTTCCTTTCTGGTTACCTTGGTTCCACTGATTTATTTTTATTTAGCTTTGTCCATTCATCTGCTTTGTTTCCTTATACTTTATGTACAGGTGAAATCATCCAGTATTTGTCTTTCTCCTTCTGACTTATTTTGCTTTGCATAATCCTCTTGAATTCCTTCCATTTTGTTGCAAATGGCGAAATTTCATCTTCTTTATAGGTGAATAGTACTCTATTATGTATATATATCACAATTTCTCTATCAGCAGGCCCTTAGGTTTTTTCCATAGCATAGCTATTGTAAATCATGCTTCAATAAACATTTTGGTGCATATATCTCTGGAATTCATGATTTCATGTTCTTCAGGTAGATACCTAGTAGTGAATTGCTGGAAGCTATCCCACTTTTTGAGGAAGCTTCATACTGTTTTCCAAAATGGTAGCACCAATTTATATTCCCACCAACAGTGTGTGAGGGTTCTTTTTATCTACATCCTTGTTACTAATCTTTTTGATGTAGGTCATTAAGTCATTCTCACAGATGTGAGATGATATCTCATTGTGTTTTTATTTGAACTTCTCTAATATAAGTGATGGTAAGCCTTGTTCTCATGTGCATTTACCATCTGTATGTCTTCTTTGGAAGTGACTTTTCAGATCTGCCCATTTTTCAATTGGGTTTTTTGGGTTTTGTTTTGAATTCCATTCCATGAGTTCTTTGTTTTGTTTATACATGCACTGGGTACAGTTGAGAGAATTCACCAGAGCCATAGTAACTCCTTACTGGATTTGTGAGCTTCGCAACCCAGCGCTTTGCAATATCTTGGATAGTAACTTCTCAAATACTCATTAACCTGTCTTTTTGTTCTGTCTATATTGTCTTTCAAAGTATAGTTCCAATTGTCTGTTTTTTTGCTTTGACTCAAGTCCCAAAAGACTCTCATGTTGGTATAATGGAATGTAACACCTATTTTTTCATCAGTCTATTTTATGGTTTCAGGACTTACATTCAGGTTTCTAATATATTTTGAGCTTATTTTTGTGTGTGAAGTTATAAAATGATTCAATTTCATTCTTTTGCATATGACTGTTCTGTTTCCCCAAAAACATTTGTTGAAGAGAATTTCCTTTCTCCAGTGTATGGTCATAGCTGCTTTGTTGTAGATTGTGTCCATGTATGTGTGTGTTTACTTCTAGGATCTCAGTTCTTTTCCACTGATCCATTTGTCTGTATCCCAATACCATATATGCTCTTTCAATTACTGTTGTTTTGCAATATAGTTTGAAGTTGAGTAACATGGTGCGTCCATTTTTCTTCTTTATTCTCAAAATTGTTTAATCTATTTGGGGTATTTTGTAGTTCCATATAAATTTTAGCATTTTTGTTCTACTTTCTTTAAAAGTATTGGCATTTTTATGGGATTGCTTTGTATCTATATTTTAC